CGCCGCCGGTGACGGCGGCGAGAGCGACGGCGGCGAGGAACGCGGTGGAGGGCCGGATGGCGGCGGTGGGGACGGGGCGGGCGGCGGCGGCGGCGCGGTGACGCTCCACCACGGCGTGGGCGGCGCGGAGGGCGGTTGCGCGTACGGCGGAGGGCGCGGAGGGCGCGGAGGGCGGAACGGAGGACGGGAGGGGAGCGGGAGGGCAGGGAGGGGCGGCGAGGCAGGCGGCGGCGAGGCAGGCCCGGGGGGCGGTACCGGCGGCGAGGAGGGTGGCTCCGGCGTGGGGCGCACCCAATCGTGCCACACATAAGACCGCCACGGAAGCGGCGGCGGCGGCGGCGGCGGCGGCGGCAAGGGTGGTACCTGCGGACACGGGAGGGAGCGAAGGTCATCAGTTGGGCGCGGTGAGGTGTGTGGTGGTGCGAGGGGCGAAAAAGAGCGCGGCTCGGGGCGTGTGCGGCGCGCATACCATCCACCAGCCCGGGCAGGTCCACGAGGCGGAATCGCGACAGGGTTCATTGGGCCGAGAGCCGTGATCGACGACAAAATTTCGGCACTGCGCCACGGCGAAGGTCAGGCCGTCTGTTCGGAGGAAGCAGCCGAACCTCGCGTCGTGGCAGCACCGGCTGACGGCGCAGGTCGCGTAGTTCGAAGAGCACTGGTAGTAGCCTATCTCCTTCGCCATCGACATTTGTTTACCTGTCAAGTGAACGCCGCGGCCGCAGACTTTTTTTGAGACGCGTGCAAAAAAGAATTCTGCGGGCCGGGGCACAAATTTGTCATGTGGGGCATTCTCCTCCTCTTTTCATTCACAGAGTCTTACGGCGTCAGCTTCCCGCTGGCTGGACTGGCGGCCGCTGGCTCTTCCGAAAGCGGCTTCCCGCCCTCCCGCGCCGCTGGGCTCCCCCACTCTTTGAGGTCCCGTGCTCCGGGCGACCGGACGAGCACCGCGCCCTCATCCGATGATGAGTCAGCCGACACGCACCCCTGCCACACGCGGGCAGGAGAGTACTTTTGCTGTGTCTTGACCACAGAATGCAGGAAACAAGCTGAAGCCTGACCACAGCCCTCGCCGGCGCCGCAGGAGGCTCGCAAGGGGCCGGCCGACGGCCAGGGCCGCGGCGGTCAGCTCGAGCGCTCGCCGGTACGCATTCATGCATCCTCTGCTCCCTCCGCGCCGAATGCCTCTCCTGAGGCCGCTCTCGAGCCCTCCCTGCCTTCCACACACCTCACCTCTAGGCGCCAGAGAAGACCGCCACGCCCGTGCAGGCGGGCGGCAATCGTGCGTACCCGAATACACCCCGGAGCGCTGAAGACCGCCACGCCGCGTGCAGGCGGGCGGCAATCGTCCGTCGCTCGCTCGTGGCGGCAATCGTGGCGCTCAACCTTCCAACGAGTACGAGGCATCGGATGCCTGGCCCTTCTTCATATTCGATTCCACAAAGCCCCAGACCAAGGTCCACTGCTCCGCGTCCTTCCCCTCGAGCGGTGCTCCGAGCGCGACACCGAGCGTGTACACCAATGACTCCTTGACTAGCGTGTAGTGAGAGTTCTTCACCCCGTAGTTGTTGTGCCTCTTGCCGAGGTCAAAGAGTATTTTTTCGAGACCTGCCAAATCGTGCAGGTTATCGATGGCGGTGTTGACTGTTTCGACCACGCCACTCACGTGCTTTTTGTAGTGAGGATCCTTGATCCTTTCGTCGTAGTCCGTTTTAAACGTGAACAACTTGCACCTCGCTTCAAACGTCGCCGTGTCCTCCGGAGGACCAAGGATTTTCTCAAAGAGCACCTGCCCGGCCAGTTCAAAGATTTCCTGATTGCTCGCCGCGGGATTTTGTGTGAGCTTCTTGACATTGGTGACGACGGTGTCCCAGGACGACTTGACGTAGTCGATGTCCAAATCTGCCCCACCGCTGCCAGCGCCAGCGCCCATGTTGCGCGAGAGGCGCAGGACCGGACTGGCTGCGATGGCGGGGGCCATTTGCAGAGCTGCCGCAGGCGCCGCCAGCCGAGGGGCCCGCAGCGCGGCGCAGCGGGTGGCGCGGAGAAGTGCCGCCATTCTCTGCCGTCAGGATCCGTCGGCGCAGTTTCGGCCGTCCCCGACACATTGGCGAATCACCGAGTTTTCCACACGGGTGACGACCCCAGACCCGTGACGTCCGTGGACCTTAAGCACTTGAGCACTGGATAGGGTCAGTTCCGCATGGTACGGGACCCCTCGACCGTCTCGCCCTCCCTCACTGGTGTGTTCATCGGGGGGGGTCATAACAAACACGGTGCAGGATCGAGGTGCACTGGGTGCAATGAAGGTCATAAACAATGAAGGCAAGAAACACTTGAGGACTTGAGCACTGGATAGGGTCGATTCCGCGTGGTACGGGACCCCTCGATCGTCTCGCCCTCCCTCGCTTGCTCGGTCGTTCATGATCATGTAGTCCGTCTCGATCTGGGGGAGATGAGTCATGCAAAAGAATCGCCCTCCGACCCAGGTTCGACGTTCCCGACGTCCGTACACGTTGGTGCCCCCGCCGCGCCCCGAGCCCCGCTCCACCCCCCGCCTCTCTGGCCG